TAGCACATGTAGTGAGGTAAACTCGAGTACTTCTAAGCCCCCGGATGTGTGCTATAAGTTGTAGTTGTAATGTATAGAGCATATATATAATATATACATATGTATAGATGGGAGATGTATTCACATTTGGTGGATGTGCTGGAGCAGAACTTAGCTGCCTTGTTAAACCTACGGTCTGAGCATTCACGTATAAATGTATATATTTATGTAAAACATATCAGTGATACGAATGTGACACATGAACCAACCAACGAAAGGAGAAACTACGACTGATGATAGAATTGTTCGAGCTTTGTGTATAACTGCTGAGGGTGTGGGTGTGTTTGCACAAAAGACACTTGAGGCACCCGGGCAAGAAGTAGACAATTCACAATTAGCAAACACAAACAGAAGTACGAGTGGCTTGAAGTTGTTGGACTCACGGAGGAGAGGAGTCGAGCTCCATTTCTGAATAGAAGTACCGCTGGCAGTAGTCTGCCTGCCAGGGAGTAAGATCCTCGGGTATTAGTTTTGTTGTAGATTTAAATGAGATAGACTGAGAATTTTAGAATCCGAGAATTCTAAGTGCTGAGACTACTTTTGGGATGGAAAGGGTGGAAAGAGTTTATTGGTGTTATATTATCCTTGGGATTATTTTTTGTCATCAAATTTCTAGTGTAAAGGAGCAATTTGTGGAAAAGAAAACTCGGGAGTATTTTATGCTTTGGATTTGCCATTCTGAGTGCGAGAAAACTGCGACACTTGGCGGTGGTTTTAGGAACTAAATTATATAAAAGCAATAAAATCTGTAGAAAAATTTTCAACACTACTTTCGATACAAAAATTGTAAATCAGTATGTGTGACCATATCGAGACTACTATGGGCATATCAACCCTAATATGTCTTGATATGGCTAATTTTTCTATCGGGCCAGATATGAACATCAATTTTTTTTTTATATGACCGTAAATTGACACATCAAGCAACGCTAAAACATTTTTTTATGGATAATTGTAAAGATATCTAAACAATAATTAACCCAAAAAAATAAAGATTTCTTTGTCATCTAATCATCAAGAAATAATAAACACCCCATCTGGCGATTATAACAGAACATAATTTTCCCAGCATCAGAAATTTTCATAACCGAAAACCGATTAGCCGATAATCATCCAAATGTCAACATTTTCATGACCGAGTCCGAGGAGCGAAAAAGATTAAGCCGAGGGTGAATAGAAACACGTAGTCCGGGGATTTAATTGTTGGTTTCCTCTATTAAGACTGGTACAACTCCTTGCAAGCAAAAGGTCCACTCGATTGGGATTGACCAAGCTGGGAATTCTTTATCTGCCGCCCCGTGTCCTGATGGACAAGGGTAACATTCGATTACTACATCGACATTATTGTTATGTATTATATATTATATATTATATGATGTATCGTCAATAATAAGCGCTCTAAGCCCATTCACTCAGATCATCCGGATAATACACCGTGTATTCATTGAATTGAGCTACTTATATATAAAAGATTACAATATTACATACAATAAACGCGGTCTGTGCGTTAAAATTCAAACTTTTATATAATATATATTGTAAACTGTGATAATCATTGCTTTGACCAGTGAGATGACAATTAAAAAAAAAAAGCTTCACTTTTTGAGTACAGTTTATAATTTATGAACAAATACCAATGAAAAAAATGACATGGCTGTTTATAAATAATTCCTGGGATTTTATCTCCCTTTCTATGCTCGCGACGGAGAATACTGTGATGAGGAATACCGTGAAGAACAAAAAGCTGAAAAATAAAAGGAAAAAGACAAACAAGTAAAGAGGAATGAGAGCATCGGGGTGCAATTCATATTATTCCTAAGGCAGAGCAGCAGCAGCAGCAAGCAGCAGGCAGCAGCAGTAGTGGAATTGCACCTTTAATCAAGATTTCTACCAATTTGCAAGCGCCGACGGCGTGAAGACAAAGCCCATTGTTGCCGTAACTGGTTGAGGCTTCAAGTGTTCCAACGCAACGCAACGGCGGACTCAATGCCTAGCCGCTGCTGGTATGTTCCTGCAGTAGAATATACCGGGTGGAACCGACATTTCTTTACATCTACTCACACTCCTATAAGAGCCGTGCATCACACAAAAACCTACTCGCCATCGTTAACAAATATCAAAGTCCTACTCTTCTTGTTAGTCTACCTTTTTAATTCGAATTCTTTTTACAAATACACGAAATATCTTCTAAGATAAAAAACTACTGTAAAAACAGAGTTTTGAGTAGATTTTTTCTGTTAAAAAGCGTCTTAAAATCACATTTTAAACGCCTCATGCTATTTTATAGGGGATTAGTTCCTAGAATCTCCGCTAGGTGTCGTATTTTTCTCACACTTAGACTGGTCACTCCGAAGTATATATAGTAACATGAAAATCAGTTGAATGCAACTAATAGAAGTCTTGTTTATACGTATATATCACATATGTTTTATATTTTCATTAAATTCCAGGCGATTGAATTGTGACATTAAGTAGATTTGATGCATTATGACTCGTTCCACTGTTATTTAAGTTGTCAAGTTGTGCTACAAGGTAGTCATGATTTTTTTGAGCAGTCTGATAGCATCAGCTGTTGGCAATCGGTATTTAATACTATTGAATTTTAAATTTTTAATTAGTTCCCAATCTAATTTTCTCATTTATTATTTATGAATTGAAATTGATACTCAGATAATATTTCGAGTAAATTTGCTAGCCACAAATTTTTGTCTCATCTGGGATGTTCTTGGTGTCCGGCAAAAGCATGTATTTTATATATATTGAAAAAAAAGTTACACATATTTAGAATTAAAAAATTCTAGAATTCTAGAATAAAAAATTTTCTATAGATTAATCTACAACCGGAATCGTGATGATAAATTTTCTGGCAACGATAAAAAAGGACCCATCAAAGAATAAGTTATATTCAGTCGAAAACAAGAAAAAACGCTGCCTCAGACTCAGGTATAGCGTAGCAGACTTCTACAGCTCTGGCTTATGATAGAGCAACTCTCTACTTTTAGACTCAACTCTCCAAGGTTCATGGACTTGAAAAACTTTTCAGAGGTCGCGTTAGTTCGACCAAAACATTTCGGCCCATACATTTTCCACTAAAATAATTTAACAAATTATTAATAAGATCCGGCCTACTTTAAATCACTTTATCTCGTGCTTATTGCAGAGTTGACACAGTCATAGTTCATAAAAAAAATACTTTAAATGTCATCAATATGAAAAAACAAAATTTATAAAAAAATAAGTAAGTAATTTTTATAAATCTCAATAAAAAATAATTTGACTGAAAATTTTTTCTTTCTTTCTAGTCATTTTCTCAAATTCAATCTCCAAAAATGGAATCATTAGAATCAGCGCTTCCGTACGTATTAATTGGCTGCATTTTTTACGCCTTCGGCTTGAAGTGGTGCTGCGAGTACGCAAAATTCTGGATCACCCCGAAGCGCAATGAGGAAAATGACCCATCAAAGTCTAGAAGAGTCGCTCGATACTGTGAAAAACTATTCTCAGTTCATCCAATAGAAGGAAGTCTCAAATTAATCGCCACCGCGCTCGGTCTCGTGGGTACAATGATCGGCGGTCTTCCTGACAACGAAACTGTATCTCCAAAAGTTGTCCACGCGACAATTTATTTATTCTTCGCATTTTCCGGTCTAGTAGACGTCCTGACGTTTTACTTCCCAAGAAATGTGACCAACAGCCTGGCGCATTTAGCGCTTGCTCAAAGTTTTTTCGTGGAAGGGTTCCTGTTTGTCTGGGCCAGTGGAGCGACGAATACTCCTAACAAAATCCTCGCGGGAGTTGTCTGGATGACTTCATTCATTGTCTTGCTGGAAATAATCTGGCCAGACATGAAAATCTTAAGAGGTTTCACTACTATTCTTCATGGAGGATGGATCGCTCACATGGTCAGGACATATCCTTTAGAAATTTTGTCTCCTGAACGAGTAGCTCTGGCGTTTTCTTGGCACATTGCTACAGCTTTTGCTGTTACGCTTTGCATTGTTTGTGTCACTCGAGGATGCATGCCCAAATTACCCGAAGAACCGCCGGAAATTCCTATTTATGATTATTGTCATGAACCTCATCATGATATTTAAATTTAAATATGTTAAAATACTTGTCCATGACTGATTATTATTATTATTATTATTGTAATTTATAATGATTATTTAATTTTAAAAATTAGACTAGTGTTTACAAGTGCCAAAAAAATGTATTCAATTTAGGGTATTTTTTGTAGGAACTAATATTATTTTTAGTATTGTGCCTTTGATAATTTTTTTACAGACAAGACTATTTTTGAAAATTTTATAATACAACACTTTTGCATTAAAAATTTTGTAAAAATTATAAATAAAAGAAATTAGAGGAACGATTGGCTCTACAGACTATCCCCGCACTTTCCCGTTAAAACATATTAAGAAAATGAGAATTTTTCAAACCATCTGATTTGGTGTAAAATGTCCAAATAAGATAAATTAGATACACAGAAAAAAAAATTAATTTGAATCAAATCAATAATCTAATAACTACCACCTGAAATATTATTTTTTGTAAACAATATATTAAATGAAATTAATTTTTTACAACAAATTAACATGAAAATAAAAATCCAAAATTTTATAAAAGTAACAAACATTTTTATTTATCAAAATAGCTTCTTTTTATTACCAAACAAAATGATCATATAATTATTTAGATACATCAAATTATAAATTAAATTAGTATTCTGATCAACAATATTAATTTAATAATAAATTTTACCAACTGAAATTATAATTATGAATTATTAAATTGATAGTTTTAGAATATTAATTATTTTTATTTATATTATTTATTAATTTTATTCAATTATTTATTTATTTATTTATTATTTTTACTTATATTACAAATTTTTAATCAAAATTCATTGTTCCCTATCCCTGAGTCAAAATATTCTCTAATAAATACACTTTACATACAAATCAACCTTCCAATATCGGTGTATTGAGTTTCTGCGGCTCAAACGGGACTAGATGAACAGCTCCAGGAAGCAGCATAGGAGTGACCTTCTCCCTGAACTCATACGGCAGAAAATCATAGCAAAAATCATAAAAATCCTTCCTCGTAACAATAATCCCCAACCGTGCCATTTTCTTCATCAGTTCTTCCAGCACAAATTTGTAATCCTTGTACTCTTTCTTCTTTATAATAACTTCAACAGCCTTAGCAAGCTCAGTGACAAATTTTTCCGACTTGAGTCTTGTCTGGAGCTCATATTTAGCTTCCATTTTCTTCCACAAAAATTTATACAGCCTATCAGTGGCCCAGTGCTTCGGCCTTGGCAACCTTGGCTTCCTATAGACTACCCCATTAACAATAAACGCCTTATTAATCTCTTTAGCCTTAACATTCTTCTTAACCAAACTGACACCAACTTTCTTCTTCACCGGCATCAACTTCACCGGCTTCGCCTTAATAACAGCCATTTCTTCCTCCATTTGCTTAGCAAAAGACTCGTCGCGCCGCTTCTTTATTTCCTTCATTTTAGCATCGACTTCTTTCAACAAATCCGAAGACGCGAGCGGCTTGGTACTGATATGCAAAGACGGTCTTGCAGTGGTGTTGCTAAAAAAGCTCAAGATTGACCTCTGGTTACTCTGAAGCTGCTTAGACCCTGACTTATTAGATTCTACAGCCTTATTCACTGTCCTTCTTGACGTACTAGGTCCAGTTTCTAATGTTCTAGCTTCTTCAATAGCCTCATTAACTTCACCTAAATTATCATTGTCAGAATCACTTTCACGGAAGGGTAAGTCACTAGGAGTCGGATTTATTTCTCTAGGTTTACTTTTATTTTGTGAAGACATCTTGGAAGTATTTCTAACATACTTATCCAACTCTTCATCAATTTCATCACTATCAAGCTCATCTAAACTTTTATCTTTATTAAAATAACGCGTTGAAGAATGTTTCGGTGAACCTAATTTAGATTTACGTTTAGAAATTGATTTATTTTTTTTACGGTCTGTACTTTCAATTCTACTTATTTCTTTTTTTTTACGAGGAGTTTTTTCAGGTATTTCTTCTTCATCTTCTTTATTATCCACTTCTAGGCTTATTTCTTCATCACCTTCCTGATTTTCTACTCCTTGACTTATTTCTTCTTTTTCTTCTTCTTCATCTCCTTTATTATCCACTTCTAGGCTTATTTCTTTATCACCTTCCTGATTTTCTACTTCTCGACTTATTTCTTCTTCTTGATTTTCTACTAGGCTTATTTCTTCATCAACTTCCTGATTTTCTACTGCTAGACTTATATCTTCTTCTTCTTCTTCATTTTCAACTTCTGGACTTATTTCTTCACCATTTTTCCGACTAACTTCCTCAGTACCTTCCTGATTTTCGACTTCCTGACTTTCCTCATTATCTTCCTGATTACTTCTATCCTGACTAACTTCCTCCTCATCTTCTCGATCATCTTCTTGATCATCTACTTTACTTCCTTCTCCACCCTCTAAATCCCCAACAACTGAACCCACTTCTTCACCCCTAAAACTTTTTCCAGCTTCCTGACTCTCTACTTCTCCTCTTTCATCAAAACTTTTCTGACTATGATCTTTTCCTCCTAACCTCACATTCCCTCTACCTCTCAGAACTATAATCTTCCTATTCACCACCTCATCTTCATCCTCATCCCCATCATCAGAATCTCCAAAAATTCTCCTCTGAACCTTCTTTCCCTCCTCAACTATAATTCTCGACCGCTCAGCAAACTCATTATCATCCCTCAAAATTTCCTTAAAAACCCTCCCAGACCTAGTCTTCCTCTGTGAATCCGTCAAACTAACTCCAACTTCCTCTTCATTTACTTTATCCTTAGACCTTCTTGCCTTAGCCTTACCAGGGGATTTCTTCCCCAAACTTTTCTCAGGAGTTCCATCCTCCAAAACTCTTCCAGACCTCGTTTTCCTCGCCGACCCACTCAAACTTTTATCAGCTTCAATTTCCGAAGCCAATTTATCAACCTCAGAAACTCTCCTATGAGATTTCTTCCCTACACTCTTCTTCTTCACCTCACCCCGAACTTGAGAACCATTTCTAATTGAATCACCTTCACTTTGCCTAGTCCTGCGCCTATCATTCAATTCAACCCTTGAAACCTCCTTCTCTTGCTGACTAGCAATAATCGCATCAGAAGTTTGTCTACTCTTTCTACCTTTCTTTGGACTCTTCTCACCCTGAGAAACATCAGCATTCTCTAAATTATTAAGACTCTTTCTATTTTCTTTATCAACAACCTCTTCATCTTTCTCAAAATCATCAGCTGTAAAATCTGAAGCCTCTTCAATAGTACCTTCTTCAAGAGTTTTCTGACTTTGGCTTGGATCCACAATTTGATCTTCTGGAGCATCAGTTTCCATTGGCTCTTCACTAACTTCTTCTTCAATAGGCTCATAATCCTGACTATTGATCTCTTCCTCCAAAGGAAGATTTTCTATTGACTTAAAAGTTTCACTGATGCTAGTCGTTGAAGATTTGTTTTCCGAAATATCAGAATGTACCGAAGATGCACGAGTTCTTGGTAAATTTTTGCCTCTATCAGAATGTTCACCAGCTGAGTCACGAAGTACAAAATTATTACTGCTTCTTGAATTAGATTTAGATCCTCCTGAAGTCAAAGATTTATTATCATTTTCATCCTGATCTTCTAATTCTGGTCTTAAATTTTCGTCTCTTCTAGATTCTGATATTGATATTGATTTTTTGGACTGATTAGGGCTCGTTTCTTTTTCAGAACTAGTTTCACTAATGATACTAGCAAAAGGATCTCCAGATTGAGCTGGATGTTGTCTGAATCGCGGACGTTGTTGAGACGCTAGATCAAGATCACTGTCGCTCTCTATGGTTCCATCTCCATTTTTGCTTTGTTGGCTTAGATTGTTCTTGTTCTGAGAACTATACCGAGGTGAGTTAGAAAATGTGGTACGAGGCTTGACGATGGTTCTGTGGTTCTCGGGAGGCTGAGAAGGTCCAACTGCTGATACGTCAGTTTCGTCGAGGACTTTTTCGTAAAGAGAAACTCGGGAAATACCGGAACTAGCGCGGCGAGGTTTCTTGAATATAGTTCTCTTGGCTCGTGGCTCGTGCTCGCTTTCTGATGACTGGAAGCCTGAACGGTGACCTCGGTCTATCATTTCGCTTTGAGATAAAGACTGACGGGGGTCTTGGACGTACCGGTTGGATGCTCGTACTGGCTCGGATTCAACGGCTGGTTCGGAGTCAAATGCTTGGGAGAAAACGTCTCCGGTGCTTTTACGGGGTTTGGAGCCTAAGAGCTTTCTGCGCTTTGGTAGAGGGATTGTCGATGACTCTGATGTTAGTGTTTCGTTTGTAATGTTAGCTGGAAAAAATTAATTGATGGAAAAATAATTATAAAAATTAATCAGGGTTACAAAATAATTAAATTTAAGAAATTTTTGTTTTTTATTTTAAATAAAATTACTAATTATAATTTCAATTATTCTTTTTTTTTAAACTAAAATTTTATGATGAAAATTGAAGTTAAAAAATAAAATTCTGAATCAATAAAAATCCATAAATTATATTTAAAAATTGATTTTAATTTTATAAATAATTGAAGATAAAATTTTGCAATAATTGAATTATTTTCAAATAATTTAATTATTTAAAACTAATTTATTCCAATGGCTCATGCTTCTAATTATTGACTGCATATATCTATAAATATTCATAATAAAATATTAAAAATAATAATTTAATATACTTACATTTCCTAACAGATTTCTTAGGACTAGGTTGAGTCCCTTTCCGTGGCATCATATTTGAGTCACTATCATCCAACCGGTGCCAAAAGGATTCATCACTACCCAGAAGTTGAATTACACCAGAGTCAGGATTTAAAATGGACTTTGAGTACCTGGAGGAAGACGTAGATCCTAAGTACTTTGACATATTAGATTCATCAGGGAGACGTCTGAACCAGAGTTCATCATCTAAAAATTAAAATGAATAAAAAAATAAAAAGTTATTATTAAAATTAATAATTAATAAAATTAAATTAAAGTTATTAATAAAATTAAATATACATACCGTCATTGTAGACATTGGTGTCATCATTGAGAACACCTGAATTATTCAGGGATCCTCGTGAACGACGACGATTCAAGCTTCTTCTTCTTGCCATAATTATTTATTTTTGTGATATAATTTTAATTATTTAAATTAAACCAAAGATTTTTTTCACTCGACAATCTAACCCTAAAATTTTGTGATTGACGCTCATTTGTGTACAAATAACCGGTTAGCAATTTCACGGCCGGGTGATCACAAATTGTGAGCACAAAAAACAATTCACTTTCTAATTATTAATTTTTTTTAAATATTTGTAAAGATAATTAAATAAATGCGGTAATGACGGTTATTAAATGACTGTCGTGATCATAACAAACATTACCCGCGTAAAATAGAGGCTGTGTAAGTGTAAATATTTACAGCCGGCGTCAAGTAAAAACTGACATACCATTTGATGAAATAATAGAATGCGATTAAATTCAATTTTAATTTAAAATATATTTTATAAAATAGAAATTTCTGACTAGCATCAGAATAATTAACAATTTAAATAAATAAAAAATAATTTTCTGTCAAAAAGTCAGATCAAAATTTTAAAAATTAAATAAAAAATTAATTAAACCAAAAAAACAAACATCTGGCAATTTTTTTTTTGATAAATTTAATTTAAGCACAATTTTTTAAAAAGTTTAAAATTTTTTTTTCTAAAATAAAAAAATTTTTAGATGCTTATTATTTTCAGTTTAATTATTTATTAACAAACCTCGGCGGAGAAATAATATGCAGAAGGGTATCCTTATATATTAAAAAAAAATAATTTATTAAAAAATTATTTATTTTAATATATACTTGCTATCAAGTGTCACTTAACTGCTATTTCTCTACCGGACGATGCCAGATAATTTGATCAGCATTCAAAAAAACTCTGCTACTTGCTTCTTGTAAAAATAAAATTTTGCGATAACTGCCGAAAAACTTAATACACTTTATACACTTCAGTATGATTATTAAAACTAAGTCCTTTCAAAGATCACGGTTTAATTCAATGCAGTTTATTTATAATTAACAACAAACTAAAAATTCACTAATCGTTTGTATATATATATGAAAATTAATTTAGCACATATTTAATCATATTAAAAATTTTATAGCAAATAAATTATGACAAAAAAAAGTTACATGTAGAAATTTAAAAAAAAAAAAAGAATGCAATTTTTTAGAACAATTTTTTTTTATAAATAAAATTAAAAAACTTTTAAGTGACTGCTAACTTTAATGTCATTTATATATCTATGTCTATGAAAATGGCCGTTTACAACACATGCGCAGTACCTTTCTTTTTTGGACGGACAATATGGCGCAAAAAATTTTAAAGTATTTTTTTTCTTTTGTATTTTATTTTATTTTCTATTTTAATTAATTTTATTAATGAAAAATGAGAAAATGAAGCATAAACTTTTTAGATTTTCCAAACTTTTTACAAATTACATCTTTAAATTTTCAAGTTTCAGCTAAATTAATTTTACCCGTCAGAACTCGCGTGAATTTTAGTGTCTCACTTGCACTGCAGCGCCACTCTATAAGTCAGATGTTGTTGAGTGAGCAAAATGCTCATAACTTCAGTGCGGACGGGTTAATATTATAAGTGTCTATAATATAAATGACTGGACAATTTAGATAACTGTCAAACGAATTAAAAATAAAAAAACTTTAATTATAGAAAAAAAAATTCTTTTTAAAGTCCTTTTTAAAATTTAATATTTTTATTGTTACTTTTTGTATAATTTACACTTATTTTAATATTTTATAATAATAATACTTTTCTCGTGAATTGGCGCCATCATAACATATAACAGCGAGTATGGGTATTATTATTAACAATTAAATTAGTTTCTTCAATAATAATAATTACTATTTTTTTTTTGTTGCAGATTGAAGACATCTTGGTGAGTCATAATATTTTATTAGAAAAAATTTTCATGATTTTTTTTGGAAAAATTTACACGCAGGTTTTTATACTTTTATTTTTATTAATAATTTTATTTTTTTTGACTATTTATTAGCTGAATTAATTCAAATAATTTTTATTACTATTATAAGTGTCCAATATAAATGACTGGACAATTTTGACAGCTGTCAAACGAATTAAAAATGAAAAAACTTCAACTAGAGAAAAAAAATTTTTTTTTAAATGACATTTTCAAAATTTATTATTTTTATTATTAATATCTGTATAATTTACATGACATTTAATTAAGTTGTCACTTGACAATTTTTTAATTTTCTTCAACAAAAAAATTATTTTAAAAAAATGCATTTTTAATTTATTAAAATTTCTACAAGTGCATTTTTTTAATAATATTTTTTTGCCATAATTTATTCATTAAAGAAGATTAAAAAAATTGCAAAGTGACAGCTAAATTTAATGAAAATAAAATTACCAGACAACTGACAATTTTCAGAATTTTTTTTATTAATAAAATTATTACAAAAAAATTAAAAGAAAAAATTGCACATGTAAAAAATTAAAAAAACTATAAGTGCAATTTTTAAAAAATATTTTTTTATTGCTAATTCAATTAATAAAAAAAAATAAAAATTTTTCACCGTCGGCTAATTTTAGTTTCATTATAATTTACACTTATTTTAACATTTTAACAATATTTTTCTCGTTACTTGGCGCCATTATGACATATGACAGCGAGTACGCTGCGATAAATTTCCTACATCTCCCTTGCAATACCCACCGAGTAATATGTAGCGAAGCAAAACATTGAAACAAACCCTAAAATTCTTCGTAATAAAAAAGAACGGCCAAGCCCCTTTGAAAGTGTTTTAAAACCTCCTCTATTTTATATTTTACAATCGTAATGTGTCATCTTTCACATGTTTACAAATAATATTTATTTGTAAAAAATAATAACCACTAAGTGATAAAGTTTACTTTTAATTATTACCTACAATAATATATCCGAATCTTCCTGTAAACATGGTAAGTATTTTAAAGGAAATATATTGAGAATATAGGTTAGAAATTAAAGTGCTAGTTTATCTTATCACTATCACATTTCCTTTATATTAAATTACTAAAATTGTGATAGTGAAATAATATTAATTTTGTTATTTTTTATTTTAGTCTGGCACATTAAAACCGTATTTAACAGCTGTGAGGCGTACGCTTACAGCAGCGATGTGTATGGAGAATTTTCAGTCACAAATTGTTGAAAAACATAATAAACCTGAAATAGAAGTCGGTATGAGTAAAGAATTATTGTTGACTCCAGTTATTGTAAGTAGGAATGATAAGGAAAAAGTTTTAATTGAATCGAGTATTAATAGTATGAGGATAAGTATAGCTGTTAAACAAGTTGATGAAATGGAGAGAATTTTGTGTCATAAGTTCACAAGATTCATGATGATGAGAGCTGAGAATTTTATGATTCTCAGGAGAGTACCTGTCAAAGTGAGTTTTTACATTGTAGCTAAATTTTTATTAATTATTATTGTTATTTTAGGTTTCATTTTATTTACTGTATTTATTTTTTTATTAATTGTTATTTTTTTTTCTAGGGATATGATATAAGTTTTCTTATTACAAATATTCATGTTGAACAAATGTATAAGCACAAAATAATAGATTTTGTTATACATTTTATGGAGGAAATCGACAGAGAAATAAGTGAAATGAAATTATCTATGAATGCAAGAGCTCGTATTTGTGCTGAAGAGTTTTTAAAAAGGGTAAAAATTTCTATTTATTATTAAAATATAATTTTAGGTGTCAACAAATCTTTTAGTTTATTAATATTTTATTTTGTTAGAATATTTTAGTAAATATTATTAGTAAATTAGCATAGAAACGCTCTATCTCTAGATACATAATTAAGAAATGACACTGTATTTCGTCAACTATTGACACTTTTAAAGATATAAGCTCACCCTGACATTACACTCATCAAGACCTTTCATTTGAGTACCCACATCAATTTTTCATATATTTATATGTATGTATATATATGAAAAATATATCAAAATGCATGTGGGTACTCAAATGAAAACTCGTGATGAGTGTAACATCGAAATGAGTTTATATCTTTAAAAATGTCAATTATTAGGAAATGACTTTGTATCTTGTCAACTATTGACATTTTTAAAGATATAAGCTCACCCCGACATTTCGCTTATCGAGACCTTTCATTTGAGTACCCACATCAATTTTTCATATATTTATATATATTATATATATGTATATATGAAAAATATATCAAAATGCATGTGGGTACTCAAATGAAAGCTCTTGATGAGTGTAACATCGGGATGAGTTTATTTTTTTAATAATGTTAATAATTAAGAAATGACATTGTATCTTGTGAACTATTGACATTTTTTAAGATATAAGCTCATCCCGCTGTTACACTCATCAATAGCTTTCATTTAAGTACCCACATCAATTTTTTATATATTTATCATATATTTATATATATTATATATAGGTATATATGAAAAATATATAAAAAATGCAAGTGGGTACTCAAGTGAAAGCTCTTGATGAGTGTAACATCGGGATGAGCTTATATCTTTAAAAACGTCAATATTCAAGAAAGTATAGTCCAATTAAACAAAAGTCTTTATTTAATAGTGACTGCAAGGTTGCTAGGAAAATATATTTTGTTACAATTTATTCCAAGAAATGAGAAATTATATATTTTAAAAATTTCTGAAAAAAACTAATATATTTTTTTATGATTGTTAATTCAATAATTTATTATAAATAATTATTCAAACTACTAATAAATTTTATTTATTACAGTTTTAATAAGCAAAGAAAAGAAAAACGATTTAAAATCGTTAGCGATAGTTCTGCGGTGGAGAGAAAAAGAAATCAACGACAGAGGATGTTTCGACTAATTTATTTTTTTTATTATTTTTAATTCTGTACTACGACCAATAAGCAAATAAATAAAAGGATAATCAGGGCAATTTGTAGATTAGTTACTAAAAAACTAAATCATTTTTCATAAATACTCCAGAGAGTCTATCGCTCACATTGTGCAATTTAAATACACGTACAGACTAAATGAAACTTGAAAAGTAAAATCATGCATTTCCATTCCGATAAAACACTTTGTTGATAAAAATCGTTTTTTATTTTATTATATTTTTAATAAGTACTTCAACACCTCTCATCTTTAAATATAAATATATAAATAATAATTGAATAAGTTTATTGATAAAAGTAAAAGTTAATTTGTAACAACTGCCGAACGGATTAAAACAAAACAGAATTTAGATAATGAATGATTGTAAAATACTTGTTATAAAAATAAAATGAAATAAAACATAGAATTATAAGGTGCTCTTTGGTCTTTATCGATAGGGTGTAATTGCTAATTCAAATAGTGATTACTTCTTCGAACTTCCAGCATTGTAATTTATATTTAATAAATCTCTATTGAGTAAATAAAAATTATCTTTTTTTTTTAATTATTAGCACCTAAATCTTTACTATAATATAAGAAATTTGTAACATTTTTTTATAAAATATTAAGAAAAATAGTCATCTATATTATTAAGAGATTGACCTTATATCTCGTGATCTATTGACATTTTTAAAAATATAAGCTCATCCCGATTTTACACTCATCAAGACCTTTCATTTGAGTACCTACATCAATTTTTCATATATTTATATATATTACATATATGTATATATGAAAAATATATCAAAATGCATGTGGATACTCAAATGAAAGCTCTGGATGAGTGTAACATCGAGATGAGCTTATATATCTTTAAAAACGTCAATAGTTAATAAAATACAGGGCATTTTAACAAAAGTCATTATTTAATAAACCAAAATTTTATTTAATTATAGTTCACAAGTCACGACAGTCACAGAGTTAAATTTGAAAAATAATAAAAATTATTTTGAATGAAAATTAGAAAATTTAATTTTAAGATTTTTCCTTTTTCTTTTATAAATTTTAATAAAAATTGAGTTAGCCGACATCTAAAAATTTTTAGAATTTTTTTTTATTGAAAAAATTAGTACAAAAAAATAAAAATAAATTTTTACTTGTAAAATACTTGAAAAACTATTAGTGCAATTTTCGGAAAATATTTTTTAGTTTTAAATTAATAAGAAAAAAAAAAAAAAATTAAAAACATCGGCTAACTCCAGTATTATAAATTTTAACCGATTAATGGCACCAAGTTTTGTAGAAAAGTAAAATTTCAAAAATTAATGAATTATTTTTATAATAATTAAAAAAAAAAAATTTTTTTTTCAATTGATAATTTTTTAATGACAGTTTAAAAATGATACTAAATTTCTCCGTAAATGACGTGAAGTTCCCAAGAATATTCGATTCTAAGTGGTTCTGAGAGCATCAACCGTTGCAGCGAAACTTTGGTATGCGAAACCCGTCGCGAACGTCGCTTGCAGATTGCAAAGACCCCGATGGTCATTTCATTGTCTTAGCATATAACACACCAGAAACTACTGACAAGCATACACTACGCACATTACCCACACATTAGACTTCGATGATTTCTATTCGTATAGATGAGAATGAGTATAAGTAAGAAAACATTCCACCTACAACTGCAACGCTCTGGGTGACAAGCGTGCTCCTTAAATCGCGTCACGACATCGGTAGTCTTTACTTACATGTACGCATTCCCTCAAACCGCGGAATCCATCACGTCCGCTATTTTTATTTTTGAAATATATATTTTTTTTATTTTTATTTTCTTAAACTCTGGACAATACTACGCTAGTACGGGGATAAGGTCGTCGCGCTTACAGGTAAGACTCGACAACAACAAAAACATGACCACTAGCTTTTCAGTAGTGCGGTGTTTTTTTAAACGCGAGTACATTATTCGTAATTTCGCCGGCTGTACGTAAAATAAGTATTAGAAAAAAATAGTCCTTATGTTGATAGAAAAATTTATTAATTATTAATTTATTTATTAAATAGTTTTTAACTACTGAAAAATATTAATTAAAATTTTAAAAATATTTATTAATAGTTAATACATTTTTTTGGAGTAAAAAAATCTATATTATTAAGAAAATAAGAAAAATTTTGTATCCAGGATAGTCATGACAAAATCGGCTTTTTAAAGTGAAATTTAGTGTCTATCGATAGGGATCTCTAGATACATAATTAACAAATGACCTTGTATATCTTGTCAACTATTGACATTTTCAAAGATATAAGCTCAACCCGACACTACGCTTATCGAGACCTTTCATTTGAGTACCCACATCAATTTTTCATATATTTCATATATTTATATATATGTATATATGAAAAATATATGAAAATGCATGTGGGTACTCAAATGAAAGCTCTTGATGAGTGTAACATCGGGATGAGCTTATATCTTAAAAAATGTGAATAATTAAGAAATTACCTT